TTACAACACAGGATTTCTTTGGTTAAACTTTGAAATTTTTAAGAAGAAATATGTGGCTATTAATTATTCATTTGTATTTAAGACTGCCTGCTATTAGCATTTCTCAGTGATAAGAATTGAAGATATAATTAAACTAGAAATGCAAACTGAGGTTTAATTAGGAAGTATGTAACACTCAGATACTTGACATCCTCCCAATCATACAATAAGATGTTAGGAAGAAAATGTTTTAGCTAAAAAGAAGACATAGAGGCTAGTGTTGTGGTGTAGTGGGTTAAGAAGCTGCTTGCAAAGCTATTATCCCATATCAGAGCACTGGTTCAAGTTCTGGCTGCTAGATAGCAGACTTCCCATCCAGCTTCTTGCTAATATGGCTGGGAATACAGTGGAAGATAGATTTCTGCCATGCATGTGGGAGACTAGAATGGAATTCCTGGTTCCTGCCTTAGACCTGCCTTAGCTCCAGATGTTTCAACCATTTGGGGAGTGAACCAGCAGATGAAAGATCTCTCTCTCTCTCTCTCGCTCTCGCTCTCTCTCACACACACACACACACACACAATCTATGTCTCCCTCTTTCTGTCACTCTGCCTTTCAAATAAACAGATAAAAATATTTTTAGAAAATAAATGCATCTGGTCTCTAAAAAAAAAAAAAAAAAAAAAAGGAAGAAAAGAGGGAAGGACATTGTGGTCCAGAGTATTTTGTTTGATTGCGTCAATTGATGGAAAGCAGACTTGAGTTCTTTTATTGAGGGATAAGCCCACATTAAGCATGCACCAAAGTGTAGCCACACCAAGACCAAGCAGCCTCTGTCTTGGCTAACAAAGGTCTCTGGTTTGTGGTGGTTCGCCTGGCTCCCCTTCAGCTTTACCCCAGCATCGGAATGTTTCTGTACTTAAGTCAGGAGTCTTCTATGCCGCTATTATATCAGAAAGACCTGGGGTTCTGGATCGGTTTATGAAGATTTGGGTTTAGGTTAAAAGCATATCACAGGCAAACATGTGTTGAACATTATTCTGTGTGTGTATACTTTGAAGAGCCTCCCAGGTATATATAGGATTTGGTATGATGAGGAGATGAATTTAATTCAAGGTACTCAATCTTATTGCCAATCTTTTTCAGTAAGAAGCCACCTCCTTGGTTTGCACATCTGTGTTTGATAACGGGGGAGAGTGTCTTTGATTAGACTTTCAGAGTAATCACTCAAAGGAAACTTTTTCCTCGGCTTTGCTGCATCTCATAAAGTTAGATTTCGCACATTAGCGATGCACTTGATTGCTCTGAAATAATGTTGGCTTTATGAGAGAGTATAATCTTGTTCAAAATAAACTCCCCGAAGTGTTGCTATTTTTGTGTCAGGTTCATCTCCACCACAACTCTAATAAACACTTCCCAAACTACTATTTTGTTTTGTGTTTCTTTTCCTCTATTGTCTTTTAATAACTTTTAGTCATATTTATATGGTACATTAATAGTCTGAGGTACAGTCACAAGTGGCCTTCTTTTCTCCAAATCATTTCTTTTCTGTAATCCTTAGTAGCGTTGAAAGAGAGGGCTTTGGATTGTCCCCCAATATAGTTGTTTATATTTTCTCACCTGGCTTTTAATATTTCAGGATCAAAATCTCTGACCTCATATTAACTATGTACCATCCATTTTTATTTGGTTTCTGTAGTGGTTTGTCTCTAGTAAAATATATTCTTGATATTTCCCTTGTTTTATTAATATTTACATAGTTAATATTTTACATAGTTAACGATTTTCAAGATAGGTTACAAATTAGTTATTTTACAACTTGTTGGCAATTCATCCTTTTATTAAATTTTACTACTTGTACATGGGTCCTCTAAAAAGTTTGTGGAAAAATGGAATTAAAAGGTGAGTTTTGTTTATGGCCCTTTTCTATACTCCTGAGGAGCGGTGGTTTTTCTACTTACTACTTGTAGAATTCTTCATTTAATGGAGGATTAAGCTTGTGTTATAAAGTAAATTGAAAGTAGTCATTGCAAAAATTAAATGAAAAAGAAAGGAAGGAGGAGGGGGAATGAGAGCAAGGGAAGGAAGGAGTATGGGATGGAAAGTGGAAGGAGTATGGGATGAGAAGTATCATGTTCTTAAAACTGTATATATGAAATACATGACAGTTGTTCCTTTTACATAAATTATTTAAAAGATTTTTAAAAGATAGGTTAATTTTGGTGAAAAAAAAATTGAAATCCATGCAGGTTTTTTGTAATACATATTTTCCATGAACATTTTGAAGATTCCTTATGTGCATAGATTTCAAAATTGCACTCAGATAAACTTATCTTTTAATTCCATCTTCATGAATTTTAAATCAATACAACTTTAAAAAGTATGTATTCTTGATAGGAATAGAGAGACTATGTGTTTTTGTATACCTTTTTAAGATCTCTTGTTTAGTCCTTTTCTGGCACATGTCAAATATTCAGAAAACACTTTGAATTAGTAAATGAGTAAATGAGACAAAGTACCCAATTTGGGAAAAATTAATTTTAATAAAAGTTAATTGTCATAGATAGCAAACTATGCCATTGCAATTGCCATAAGGAAACAGCCTAATTTATCAGCGTAAACTTCAGGGAGCATGTATTAAGATTTGTGTTTTTTTTTTTTAACTTTTATTTAATAAATATAAATTTCCAAAGTACAGCTTTTGGATTACAGTGGCTTTTCCCCCCCATAACTTCCCTCCCACCCGCAATCTTCCCATCTCCCGCTCGCTCTCCCATCCCATTCACATCAAGATTCATTTTCAATTCTCTTTATATACAGACGATCAATTTAGTATATACTAAGTAAAGATTTCAACAGCTTTTTCATAGGCAGATAGGCAACAACCATGGAAAATCACATGATTAGATAAACAGGAGAAAACCTCTTCAAAGATTATCTAAAAAAAGAACTTAAAAAGTTCCCCAAACTTTTAATTTTTACTAATATGTTTTTAACTGTTTATTTACTACATTCTATATGTATAGACTTTTCTATCCATAAAGCATATTTAAATTTGTAATCATTGTTGCATTCCATCCTAGTCAAATCATTAACAACTTTAGTATTTTCTTGTTTTTTCAATGCTATAAACTTTATCTTCAGATGGTGCTCAGACTTTACTATGTAACCATATTTATTCTGTTATTTTTTGTTTCTGTGATTTTCTCACAGTCATGAATCAGTAAATTATTTGATAAAACATTCATAATTCCTGAAACATGTGATTTTTATACTGTAAAGAAGTGAGATGAACATTACATACTAGGAGTATAATTGCCAAAATCAATTTAAACAGGCTTGGAGCTTTGGTCTCTATTCTATCTGTTATTATCACATTTAAAATATGGTAGCTAATAAAATGTATACTGATGTCAAGCAAATCGCCCTCAGGGCATTCCAACTTTTTTTTTTTTTAATTGCAACTGCTATCATTGTATCCTATATGAAATGGGCATTGTTTACATAAATGTATCTTAGTGATTAAAAAATATGAACTCTGATTTTGTGACAACTATCATTAAGTGAAGAATATTTTAAGAGTAATAGGGTATATGTTTTATTCTATATTTGCAAATTATTTTAAACCAAGGATGATAGTCTCACAGGGGATTTTAATAATGTAGTTAAGTTTATTGTCTGTCACAGTAGTCAGTTATGACCAGAGAGCTCAGGTATCACAAAATAAATCTTGTCCCCCCCAAAAAAAAAAGTATGTATTCTTGGTTCAAACTTCCCAATTTTCCCTTCAAAATAAGTGAAATTCTATTTTTTAAAAGTGAATATTTTTTCTAGAATATAGCACAGAATTGACATGGAGGTCATTAGAAGTGTTTGGGCAATGATTATTGCATCATTTCTCTCTTATACTTTAAACTAAAAATATCTTTGCAACCAGTTTCTGGTAAGACCGGTTGTTGAGAGGGTTGTATTGATGAATAAGCTCTTAATCCTAGTTGGTCACAGTCTTTCTTCCTTGTCTATCAATCTTGATAGATAAAGCCCAAATCATCTCCTTTGAGCAAGGATTGGTGAAAAAAAAAACAAGGAAGAATGCCCTCAGGCTGGATGCTGGGGGGATTTTCCCAGCAGGCCTGGTGCTGATGAGTGGTCTCTCCTGCCATTTGGACTGGACTGAGGGAAGGGGGAGGCATCAGCAGAGACATAGGAGCTTTCACGAAATGAGAATCCAGCTGACCAAATAAGATGCTCCATGGGCAGGGATCTCTGCACGTCCCCTGATGGCAGCAGCTGTGCACCTGCAGCTCCAACACGAGAGCAGCCGCTTTGGAAACGGGAGGCAATTATTCCATGTCCAGTGATATTTTGATTCTGGAATTGCTAAAGGTAACTGAGTGTCTAAGCCTGATTGCTAGGCTATCACATGGTTTTGAACTGAAGTGTAGGGGAGAAAACATTGATTTCCAGAGACCAGACCTCCTTGAAGAGGTATACGATGGCTTCTGCTCAGTGTGTTTGTTCATACAGTATCCCAGTGTCTGTCACACTGCCTGCCTCCCAGGTGTAGGTGTATCACTGAGGAAACACAACCTAAACCACGTTCAGGAGGAGAAAACCATTTTTATGGAGTAGTAAGCTCTTTTATAGGACAGACGTGGTTGTGGGGGCTTTTGAAAGGAATAGTCTCACAGCTGCTAAGTTCTGCCCAGTTTGCTCTCGTTACAGACAGCTGAAAGTGCCTTGGATTCAGTGTGCATGCAAAGATGGGATTTGTAATTGAACTCATGCTTTTTCTAGGGTCGGTACATTATAGATTTCCCCCATAATGATAACAGAATCTTACATCAGGTGAACATGGAGAAGTGAATATTTAAACCACGTGTGCAGGAGGGAAGAAAGAGACATAGTGGAGCTTTTCTTTGCGCGGCATGGTTGTAGATTATCTTTGCCGGCTGGATATTTATTTCAGATTTTTTGTGGTTTTTCATGTCCTGGATGATGGGGGCACTTGTAAATGGGTTTCATATGGTTGCGGGTGACCCTGAAGGACTCAATTCTTAAGATAATTCACTTCACAGTTCGAAGTCAGCCCTGTGCTAATCACAGAATGAAATCATTTTTATGCTGTTATCTAGGATTTTATTATATTGGTTCATACCTGTAAGAAAATAGAGCATTGTCTTGGACTTACCTCTCTATCACCTTCTCTTAAATTTGCCACAAGAAACACAGACAGGAGAGTAACCATTTGGATCAGCTACACTGGCAGCATTTGGGCTCTGTCATGGTCTCCAGTCACACTGGATGTTCTTCTGATGTGAGATGCTGGAGACACAAAAGCAGGACCGACTTCCATAACCTTGGGTTTTACATAACCTTCATTCTTCACAACTAAGATGTGCTCAGAACTGTAGCCATGAGCCACCCCTTTGTCATTTTCAGCCTCTGACTTGCTCCTGTGGCTGCTGATTCATCTGTTTTCATTGCTCTCCAAAAGCCAGTCCACATTTCATCATAGAATCAGAAGTGCCCTATTATGGTTTAAAAAATAAATAAATAAATAAACAGCAATCCCCTATCAATAGCTACAATGTATGAGGAAGAAAAAAAAAGGTTTTCATTCTCTCTAGTTTTCAAAATCTCCAAAAAATGTGATGAGACAAGAATCCGAACAGAACCTACTTACCCTCAAAGCAATAGGTTTTTTTTTCTAAGCAGTCTAATAAGGATGTGTCTAAACTAGCCTCCTTTGGGAATTTATCTATAGCTGTCTTTAGCTCATTACTATGTCCAGCCTGTGTGCCACTGCTTGGGAGTAATCTCTTCTACAAATTGGCTATAAAGGCAAGAAATTCAGGGAGCAGAAGAAATAAATGCAAAGGAAGGAGTAGAAATCTGCTCCTAGACAAGAGAAAACAGTTGCTGTTCATGCACAAAGCCTTCCTTGAACGTATTCCCAACTGCAGCCCTGCAGAGGTCCTGACAAAGCCCACTCACCTGCCTTCCTGCAGCATGGAGCCCATCTTGTTAAATATGCTAAACATCCAGTAAACCTCTGGAAGAAATGATCCATCTTGGAATCCCAGGGGCTCTCGACACACAGCAGGAACCCAATAAATGTTTAGTCAAAGAAGTAATTTGAATAACATAAAATCATTTTAGATAGTTAAGAATCTTGGTGACATGGCTGAAACCCTTGTTCCATGCGTGAGGATCCTGGGGTCTTTGCTCACCGTCCCACAGCTGAAATTAACAACACCACACTGATTTAAAGCTTAAGGTTCTTTTTACTTCAAATTGGTAGCTGCCTATAGTATGCTGGAATTATAGATGCAAACACACATTGAAAATAATATTTTATTATTTAGGGCGCTCTAGAGGTTACAGGGCAGTTTAATAAACACCGTCTCCTTGCTTCCATTCTTATCCTTGTGCACCCAGTAGGAAGATCACATCCCTGTTTAACTTGAGATTTAGAGGAGCTAGTGAGCTGCACAAAATCTAGAACTCGGATCCCTTCCTCCTGATGGGGATTCCTCCTCTTTCACAAGACTGGCTTTTGGAACTCTAAGAGTGAACTGATATTTCCAAGAAGGGTATATTCCAGAGATTACAGAAATTTACTATACAAAAAAATAATAGGATAAGGCAGAGACATTTTCAAAACATTCTTAAAACTGAAGTTTACACTGGACTGAATTGGATGCAAATTTAAAATGCATAGGAAGGTAAGCCACAAGTTGTTGTTACAAGGTGTTAATCTTCTTGAACAGAGTGGGGGTAAGAAAGGTGAGAACTTGGGGGTGAAAATACAGAGAATAAGAATCTGATTATACAATAGTAGATTTGCATGATCAGAATCCAGAAAAAGAGGACCTATATTTTGACACAAAATAAACAGACTTTTCTCTTTTTCTCCTTTTTTAATATTTATTTATTTGAAAGAGAGAGAGGGAGACACACACACACACACACAGAATATCTATCCACTGGTTCACTCCCCAGATGACTGTCCCACATGCTCTGTAACTCTTTTCAAATGAACAAATAAATCTTTAAAAAAGAAACAAGTAAAATTAAGCAAAAAAAGGTAAAGCAAAAATTATTCTTTTAAACATCTTTTAATTATTAGCAACTGTATGTGTTTTCTTTATCAAATAATCACATATCAAGAATTAGGATATTTGAAGTGATCATTTGAAAGCCTTTTCCTGAATTTTTGCATATTGCTTCAACTAAATAGTGTTAGTGTTAACTGTTTCCATACTGGTAGAATGATGACTATAGAACAATCCTCAGGGCACAACGTGGGTGAAGATGATTTTATTTTGAATAATTTGCATATTTACCCAGACATTTCAGAGTCAACATCCTGTCAGTAGGAGGCCCTGGGAGAGCTGGGGTGACCCTTCTTGCCCATCCCATGAAAACTCCTTCCTGCTCTCACCTTGTAAAGTTTTTTCTCTTTCAAATTCTACTTTACTCTTTGGTTATATCTAGAGTCAGTTTTCCCAGAAAATTGAAGAAAAAACTTAAAAGGCTGTCAGTACATAATTGTGTTTTTGTACATTTTATAGTATAGTAGTAAATTAGGACATTAATAGAGAAAACAGTGAGACTGTGTTTAACATTATTTAGGTATCATCCTTCATTTAGAAGCTCTACTGAGTGTGCACATAAAAGAACATCAGTCCTTTAACAACAAAAACGAGAAACTTTTGGTGAAAAAGTTTCTCTTTTCCTAGACTTGCACTGTAAGCATGGTGTTTCTTTTTTGGAATAATAATCAATGGTTGCCTTTCTCTGATCCACCATGATATTTTCTCTTCCAGCCTCCTTAATACTAAATTTATACCAACACGTTTTTATCTAGTCACTCAATCTTTATTAAAGCAAAAGTATTCAGTCCCTGCTGCATTTTAGGCACGGGTAGAAGAGGAAGGGAAAGGCATTTTTCATGATTTAATATAATTAATCTTGAATGGTTTCTGGGAACTTCAAGTGTGTGTGTTCAAACTCCTTTGGTGACAGCGAAGCCTTTTGAGGTCAGGTGTATGGGTTAACACCTTGGATTAGGTGTTGGACTTAGACTAAGCTCCATGAAAACTCCCTGGGTCTAATTCAGCTTGTAAGGAAAGCAGAATTTCTGTCTGGCTTATAGACATGAAGACCCCAAAGCATATGAGTTATGGAAGAGAATGGGCTGGCACAGGCACAGTTGTACATTTCATAAAGTGGATGAACTTGTTTAGGTGAATGAAACCAGATTATGTTAGGAGGGCCTATGATGCCAGAGGAAAAACAAATACCTGTAGAGAGTAGACAACAAAAGTACCAAATGTGAAAGCTTTTGAGGTTTAAAAGGATAGCATTTGCCAAGGGAATGAAACAATATTTCAGAGTTTCATGAAGCTGATAATCACAGGTCATAAGCATGCAGATTTCTCTCTGAAGTCCAACAGAGGAGCTGGTGCTGTGACTTGTCAGGTGAAGTAACCATGTGCCAAGTGGGCACTGGTTTAAGTCCCAGCTGCAGCCAGCGCTGTGGCTCAATAGGCTAATCCTCCACCTGTGGCACCAGCACACCGGGTTCTAGTCCCCATCGGGGCGCCGGATTCTGTCCCGGTTGCTCCTTGTCCAGGCCAGCTCTCTGCTATGGCCCAGGAGTGCAGTGGAGTCCTTGGGCCCTTGCACCCACATAGGAGGCCTGGAGAAGGCTCCTGCCTCTTGGATCCTGGCTGCTGGCTTCAGATTGGTGCAGCTCTGGCCATTTCGACCATTTTGGGAGTGAACTGGTGGATGGAAGACCTCTCTCTCCCCTTCTCTCTTTCTGCCTCTGCCACTCTGTAACTCTACCTTTCAAACAAACAACTAAATCTTTAACAATAATAAAATAAAGTCATACAGAGAAGTGAGAGCATGCATCTCCAGTCACTGTTAGAGTAATAGTGAAGGGGAGGCTCCAGGAGTTCATGTTCCCCTTTTGCTGAAGATATTGGAAAGTTCTACATCACACTAGAGCAGAAAAAGACAATGGCAAAAGACATATATAGAGTATTGTCATTTAAAAAAAATCACACACAGTAATTGAATCTGCACTTGGAATGGGTCTGAATAACTTCTTGTCACTGTTTCATACCTGGCTTGATCAAAGAATCACTTATGCAAGGTAGAGCTCCTAACACCACTAGATGGGAAGGGAAATAAGTTTTGCACTAATTTTTTGTGGTCCTCTTTTTAGTTTTTAGCAATTACCATATTCTTATTCCTACATGTCTTAAAGTATTAATTGCTTGTTCAGCAACTTGAAATTCACCGTTACACTGCTTTCAAGATACAGATCTTCCTTTTATAAACTGGGACCTTAAGTCCAGGACTCCTGCCCCTCCCACATTGTCCAGGATTGCTCAGAGATTCCTACAGCAGTTCTGCAGTTACGTCTTTGAATCCCTTCAGTGACTTTGGGTAAAATGCATTTGGGCCTGCAGACATGACCACATTTAAAGCAGCTAGATGCTCTCTCCTTAGTTTTATCACCTCTCTCTGGCTTCAGTTCTTCCTTAATCTGTTATTTTCTAGTTTAGTTTGAAGATCATTCTCATTGATAGAGAAGATGAGAGCAGAGGTGATGCTAACAGATTCTGTTCTCTCTGTCATCTCCTAACGCTAGAATATCTGCCCCCAGGGGCATTTGAATCATTCGTTGAATTCACCTAAACATACGGTAACAATTCCTTTTATTGTCCTCTGCGTTTTTCCCAAGCTTGAGCTTATTCTCAAATTGAACCCCTCCTGATACTGTCCTTACCCACTTCTACTTCGTATGTGTTTTAGATTATGTGCTTGTCTTCCAGTTCTTTGTGTCTTTCCCGGTTCATCAACCACATGCCATTCTTTACATTCCCATCCCTCCATTGCATTCTGCCTCATCTATACACTTTTCAGCTCTGTTGTCAGTATCTAACTGTTGAATGCCTTACTTCTCCCTTAACTCATCTGTTTTTTTTTTTTTTTTCTCAGACTATAGTCCTGGGACCCCATCATTCTTTCTCTGAACTTGTAAAGAATTGTGAGGCCCACATCTTGTAAAGTCCTGTCGCACTGCTTGCTTCAAAATTGCAAACATTCTTGGGTTCTCCCTGGACCCCTGGAATCAGAATCTGTTGACGGCTCTTGGGAATCTGGCAATTAGTGAGTTTGCAGTGTTCGAAGGGCTCTGTCCCAGCATTTCTTTCCCCTATACTGTGAACACCAAGGAGCACTTTCTGTCAAAGTTTCCATCATTTCTATGCTTTTCTACTGGTGCAAAGTAATTAGTTCCTCTC